CTTCTGCCTTTGGACATCAGACTCCGAATTCTTTGGACCATGGACTCTGGGACTTGCACCCATGGCCTCCCAGGGGCTCCTCAGCATTACCCTTCATACAAAGGGCTACTGTGTTAGTTTTTCTACGTGTGAGGCTTTTGGACTTGGGCTGAGTCACGCTACCAGCTTTTCTCATTGCCCACCTGCAGGTGGCCTATCATGAGACTTCACCTTGTAATCGTGTGAGTCTGTCCTCCCAAATAAATTTCCGCGTGCGCGTGTATAAAATATCCTATTGGTTTTGTCCCTCTCTAGAATCCTAATACACAGGGTCTTGCTAGTTGCCGAGGCTGGAGTGCAATGGCTACACAGGTGAAATCCCACTATTGGTCAGCATAGGAGTTTAGATCTGCTCTGTTTCCAACCTGGGCCGTTTCACCCCTCTTTAGGCAACCTGAGAGTTTCCTGCTACTCAAGCTGAACTCAGTGTGGACACCCAATCAACATAACACACTACAGCTCAGGATTCCTGGCTTAAGCGATTCTCCTGACTCAGCCTCCCCAGAAGCTGGGATTACAAGTATGTGCCATACAGCAGATGTCCCATACTTCATTCAACTATTCTCTTATTGAGTGTTTGAGCTTTTTCCCATTACTATCTCCTACTACAAATAACACTGCAAGAGAGATTCTTCCATATGATAAATTTTAAATTGTGATATATGCTGCCATCTGCCTTCCAAAAAGATTTTTTCACTTTACATGCTAAGAGTCTTGAGAATGCACTTTGCCCTGAGTCTTTGCCAGAAATGTGTATTGTGAATCAATTATGCAGAGTGCTATCTCATTTCAATTTACTAGACATTATCTCTGATCTAATAGTGAGGCTGAATATCCTGCCACATGTTTGTCATTAGTTACTCCTCTTTTGTGTATGCTTTCTCCCCATTTTTCTGTTGGGCTATCTGATTTATTTATTATTTGTAGAAGCTCTTTAATATATTATAGATTTTAATAATTTGTTATATATGTTGTATTTCCCTGCAGTTGGTTACTTGTTGTAACTTTTTTAAAAAATATTTTTCATTGTATATTCTAAATGTTATGCAATTGCCTTTATAAATGCATGAACTATTATTGCCTAGGATGATCATAACAAATATTACAAAAATTTTTTTCAGATTTTTATTTAACATTTTTATACTATTGTTTTAAATTTTTTTTTTTTTTGAGTCGGAGTCTCACTCTGTCGCCCAGACTGGAGTGCAATGGCCACTCCCGGCCACCGCAGCCTCGACTTGCTGGGCTCCGGCGATCCTTCCGCCTCAGCCTTCCGAGTAGCCGGAATTACAAGCATGCGCTACCACGCCCAGCTGATTTTTTGATTTATTGTAGAGATGAGGTCTCACTGCCCAGGCGGGTCTCGAACCCGCGGGCTCAGGCAATCCACTCACCTCAGCCTCCCAAAGGCACGGGATTACAGGCTGAGCCACCGAGCCCGGCTTATTGTTTTAAATTTACATGGAATTTTATTTGTGTGTGATCTCATTCAGTAACTTAAACATATTTTTTCCTAGCTGCAACCAATTATTCCAACCTTTCTTGATTTAAATGCCACTATTAAAAGCGACTACATTTTATATAGGTAAAAATCAATTCTTGAGATATTTTCCCTTGGTTTATGTCCACAATAAGAACACATTATTTTAATTATTGTATCGTCATATTATATTGTTATATCTGCTAGGACAAGTTGTTTACCCAAATACCTCATTATTCATCCAACCAAAGAGGTGAAAGATCTTTACAATGAGAACTATAAAATACTGCTCAAAGACATCAAAGATGACAAAAAAAAAAGAACATTCCATGCTCATAAATTAGAATATCATCAAGATGCCCATACTACCCAAAGCAATCTACAGATTCAACACAATCTCTATCAAAGTACCAGTAACATTTTTCATAGACCTAGAAAAGACAATACTTAAATGCATATGAAAGCAAAAAAGACCCTGAATAGCTAAAGCAATCCTCAGCAAAAAGAACAAAGCTGGTGGCATCACACTCTCACACCTCAAACTTTACAAGGCTACAGTAACCAAAACAGCATGACATTCATATAAAAATAGAGACACACAGACCAATGGAACAGGACAGAGAAACTGGAAATAAAACCACAGGTCTTCAACCAACTCATCTTTGACAAAGTTGACAAAAACATTGAAGAAATGAAACCATATTTAGTAAATGGTGCTGGGAAAACTGGGTAACCACATGCACAAGAATGAAACTGGAACCCTATCTATCACCATATACAAAAATTAACTCAAAATGAAACAAGGACTTTAATAGGAAACCTCAAACTGTAAGACTCTTTGAAGAAAACCTGGAGAACATTCTCCTGGACATCAGAGTAGGCAATGAATTCATGGCCAGGTACCTAAAAGCAAATGCAACAAAAACTAAAATTGACAGGCAGGACTCTATAAAGCTAAAAAGATTTTGGGCAGCAAAAGAAACCATCAAGAGATTAAAGACATTCAAGCAGCAACAAGCATATGAAAAAATGCTCAACTTCACTCATCACCAGAGAAATAAGAACTACAATGAGACACCACATCACACAAGTCAGAAGGGCTATCAATAAAAAGTAAAACAAAACAAAACAACAGGTGCTGGTAAGGGTGTGGAGAAAAGGGTATGCTTCTGCACTGTTGGTGGGAATGTAAGCTAGTTCAACTTTGTGGAAAGCAGTGTGGTGTTTTCTCAAAGAACTAAAAACTGAGCTACCATATGACCCAGCAATCCCACTTTTAGGACTATCCCCAGAGGAACATAAAATGCTTTAAAAATATACACCTGCAAACATGTTAATTGCAGTATCATTGACAATAGCAAAAATATGGAACCAATGCAGATGCCCACTGGAAGTGAACTGGATACAGAAAATGTGGTACATATACATGTAGGAACACTACCCATCCATAAAAAAAGAACAAAATCATGTTCTTTGCGGCAAAAAAGAACAGCTGGAGAACATTACTCTAAGTGAACTATCACAGAAAAAAAAAACAAATATTGCATGTTCTCACTCATAAGTGGACCCTAAACATTAGACATGTGAAGATAAAGGTAGGAACAACAAATGTTGTGCAATGCTAAAGGAGGGAAGAAGGAAAGGGAGGAAGGGGCACACAACCCCCCATTGGGTACCACATCCACTACCAGCAGGAGAGAGAGCTTGCTAGAAGCCCAAACCCCACCAGGATGCAATTTACTTAGGTAGCAAATCCTCACAAGCACCCTACAGCTCTAAATGAATGAATGTGAGGACACTTTTCTCTTTGAAACAGAGTGTTCCTTTCCTTCAGTCCATTAATTATCCTCAAAGTCTTAACATAATTTCATACTGACAATGAGAAATAGAACACTCCTTATAAGATTTGTGCTCTAGGATGGGCTCAGTGGCTCAGTCTGTCACCCCAGCACTTTGGGAGGCCGAGGCAAGTGGATTGCCTGAAACTGCCGATTTGAGACCAGCCAGGGCAACTTGACGAGACCTTGTCTCTACAATAAAAAAATCAAAAATTAGCCGGACGAGGTAGCACACGTCTGTGGTTCTGGCTACTTGGAAGACTGAGGTGGAAGGATCACTGGAGCCCAGCAGGTTGACGCTG